TTTTATTTTTTTGAGACAGAGTCTTGCTCTGTCGCCCAGGCTGGAGTGCAGTGGTGCGATCTCAGCTCACTGCAACCTCCCCCTCTCAGGTTCAAGCGATTCTACTGCCTCAGCCTCCCGAGCAGCTGGGACTACAGGCACACAGCTAACTTTTGTATTTTTAGTAGAGACAGGGTTTCACCATATTGGCCAGGCTGGCCTTAAACTCCTGACCTCGTGATCCACTTGCCTTGGCCTCCCAAAGTGCTGGGATTACAGGCATGAGCCACTGTGCCTGGCCAATTACTACCTAGTTTTAACCAGGGTTTTGTCACAATAGTTTGCTTCCCTGCTCCCTGAATCTGTTTCCTGTGCTTGGTACTCCCACCCAAGTCACTGGGAAAATACAGTGTCCTTCATGGACAGAGTCAATTTCACTGACCAGCCAGGAGGACAGCATCTGCTGCTTGTCTGTTCCATTAGTGTTGAAAGGTTTGCACAAACCTATTAACCCGCCCTCCTTTCCCTGTGCCGGTTATGACAAAAAACGGAGCTTTGCAAGACAGCTGGGCAAACCTCCACTGTCCCCTGGCTGTGGAACAAGCCAAGGAAACTATCTGGATCGCCTAGAAATCACACTCGTGACCCTGACCGTGGTCCCTTCTCAACAGAAAACTTAAATAAAAACAATCTCAAAATCGTGCTCATTCTTGAGAGAACTTTTTATGCAATTATCTTATTCAGAATAAGATTTTTATACCAGACAGAGGTACTGATGCCAACAGCAACCTTAAAATCTCTTCCTTTCAATAATTTCTGCCTTGATATGTTTGCAGATGCCTTTCAGGAAAATGGAGTGTGTTTTGTTGTTTTGCTTGCTTGTTTGTTTGTTTGTTTGTTTGTTTGTTTTGAAACAGAGTCTGGCTCTGTCGCCCAGGCTGAGTGCAGTGGTGCAATCTCGGCTCACTGCAGCCTCCGCCTCCTGGGTTCAAGCTACTCTCCCGCCTCAGCCTCCCGAGTAGCTGGGATCATAGGCACACACTACCACGCCTGGCTAAGTTTTTGTATTTTAGTAGAGACGGGGTTTCACCGTGTTACCCAGGCTGGTCGAAAACTCCTGTGCTCAGGCAATCCGCCCGCCTCAGCCTCCAAGTCTTGGGATTACAGGCGTGAGCCACCGCGCCCAGCGACAATGGTTTAAAGCAGGGAACAAGGAGCACTGTTCGACATTTCGGCATCTCTATTCATGCCATTCCAGAGCCGGTGCCACCCCTCATCCCAAATCTGTTCTCAGAAATGTGCGCAACAAAGCTCTCCGGGGACCCTGGGGGAGCCTGGATGAAGTGACTGGTTCCCTGTGAGGGCAAAGAACAAAAGAATATTCTGTATGAAAAAGCTGTTTTTCTCTTCTTTCCTTTCTCTTTTCTGGGAGAGGAGCGCAGTGTTTCTATTTTTCTGCATTGTGCACCAAATCCTTAAAGACCACAAATCAATCCCCAAAAGTACACACATTAATGTTAATGCAGTCAGAACAGGAACTGCTGAGCAAGAACTGTTAAACAGTAAAGAAAGCAATGAAAACAAAAGATTCCGGCCTCAGGTAATATTAGGAGCGTCTCTTGAGAGACACTCATTTTACTAACAAGTACCTCTGGAGTGAGGGTGGC